AACCCTTTAAAAGGAACCCGAAACCCTAAACCAAACCCTAAACCCCTCAACCCTCAACCCTCAACCCTAAACCCTAAACCCTAAACCCTAAACCCTAAACCCTAAACCCAAAACCCCTGGGTAACGCCCTCATCGGCCCTTTTCCTGTGGCCTCAGGGTCATGGCAGCCCAACCGCCGGCCGCTCCAGGCGGCATCCAGCAGATCTTCGAGAGGAACCAGGAGGCGGCAGAAAGGAATCCCATTTTTTAGGGTTTTCTATAAAGGAATCAATTGTTTTAGGGTTTTTATAAAGGAATCCATTTTTTTAGGTTTTTATGAAGGAATCAAGTGTTTTAGGGTGTTATGAAGGGATCAATTATTTTAAGCTTTTTCAAAGGATTGTTTTTGACGATGTTTTCAGGGCCTCATCAGCGTTCCATAAGGATTTTGGGAGTTTATAATATGGGCTCCTGCATCTCGTTTGTCAAAGCATCATGTCTTCAGGCGACGATATATGTGGGGAATCTGGACCCCAAGATCGACGAGGAGGCTGCCCACCCTTATCGACAGACACGCGAAGAAGCGCATGCAAACATACATGCGTATGCACATACGCACTTGCGTGCATATCATTTATGTATGTGTGTATGCATGCATGTATGCATGCATGTATGTATGTATGTATGTATGTATGTATGTATGTATGTATATATCATATATCTATTATCTACGTATCTATGCATGTACTGGTTGGGTGGGACGCGGGTCACACGCTACCTTTTGCATTGAGCTTGCGGAGGTCTTGTGGGAGCTCATGGTGCAGTGCTCGGCCTCAGCACTTGAAGCTTCGTGCCAGCAGCACCCGCAGAGAGCTTTGAGCTTTAGCAAGTGCAGCCTTGACCGTCTATGAACCCAAAGACTCCAAAACCCTTTGATTAAGGAATATACCTTAAATCATATTAGGGATCCTATTATAATTTAAGGTATATTCCTTCGCTGAGGGGTTTTAGAGTCTCTGGGAAGACTCGTGGGCTTACCTCGCAGAGGACGGAATTTCTGGAGTGAGGCTATGTAACTACGCTGGGTTTCCTGCGCCTGCAAAACAGTGTAAAACATGTGGTGCTCTCGTTTGATCTGACTCCCAAAGCCCCGGCACACTAAGGTGTGGACCAGTTGCTAACCTCCATCTCCCCCGGGACAAGATCACGACGACGCATCAAGGGTGCCCGGATCGAGGGGTGATAGATGTGTGTTAGACGATGCCTCTCTAGAAACACGCCTGTAGATTTCGTCCGAAGCTCATGCACACAAGTTGCTGTGCCAATCACGCCTGTACCTTGCAGCCTTTTTCTGCAGGGTTCGGCGAACCGACTCTGCCTGCACAGGCTTGAGAAGGTAGTTAAATCAGCACCGAATCTTTCCAGGGTGCGCAGCTTTGAGCTCACCTCCCACAGCAGCAGAAGCATCTGCAGAAAGCCAGTAGGCGAAGGTGGAAGCGACGTAGACTGTTGCATCTTTCCCGACTGTGCTTGTAATGCCCCAGCAGCCCCAGCAGCAACAGAATGCAACGAATCTCTGTCAGCAAAATCTGCGCTTGATGCCGGCCGCACTTCAACGATGAGTTTTGAAGGCAAGCTCGCATGTAGCACTCGTGGAAGGACCCAAGCGGTCCTTAAGCCTGTGCCGCCCAGCAGGACAGGCTTACCGCGCTGGCTACTACCCGTACGGCCAGAGGGCACATGTGGTTCAGGCACGCTGTGCGACCTTTGCTAATTACTGATTCTCCCTGTTACACTACTCAGCTGAATCACTCCGACAGCCCTGATATAGAACGTCCGAAACCCCAGCAAAGCCTACAGAAACCCTATCAAAACCATGTGAAAACCACTTGTGGCCCTTGCAGCAATCCTTAAAAGTCACGGTTGGAGTAAGAGCAACCGCAAACCCTAAACGAGCTCCCGAGGGCTCCGAAGGGCTTCAATGTGATAGGGGCTGCTAGAATGATCCCCTAAGGCTCTACAACGCGGCTCTTCATGGGCTGTTCGAAGGTCCTCGAAGAGTGCCCAAAGGGTTTCGGGTAATACAGAAGCCTAAATAATTACTCATATTTGCTTGGGGGTTCCTTATTATAAATATAGTATAAGGGGCCCCCAAACCCTAAACCCTAAACCCTAAACCCTAAACCCTAAACCCTAAACCCTAAACCCTAAACCCTAAACCCCATTCTTTTTACTAAGGCCCCTACATCCTCCCAGCTCTTCGGAGGTGGGCCTCGGCGATAATCGAACGTTCCTTCACGAGCTCGTGGGCCAGCCTGGAGAGGCACAAAAAAAGAGGGAACGGGTTTGGGGTTTAGGGTTTAGGGTTTAGGGTTTAGGGTTTAGGGGGGATTTCGAACACAGGGAGTTGTGGATTTTGTTTTTTGGTTGTTTTTGGTTTTTGGCGGGTTCATGAGGTGGCCTGAGACTTTCCAAGGGTTTTGTAAGGGTGTTGGGGTCAGAGTGGCCAGTAATAGTATCCCCTACTATCCGTAGATGCATTAGAGTATGTAGCAACACTTTACTGCGATATTCGGGAGTTTCCGAAAATAGGGGGTACCTTATTTTGGGGGTCCTTATAATAAGGATCGTACTAATTTTGGGTACTATATTAGGGTCCCCTATTTTCGGAAACCTCCATTCAAGGCAGCAAGGGGTTTAGCCTGAAGTCTGGACGATGAAGCGCAGCCCTTGGCGGCAGATTTTCTTCGCCACCCCGCTTAAAACTGTGTGTTGCCCTTCAGCGACGCAAAAGGGCACAATGCACATTGTCACCTATATTATTTTGGGGGGTTCCTTATTATTACAAATATAGTATAATGGACCCCAAAACCCTAAACCCTAAACCCCATTCTAATTGTTACAAATATAGTATAATGGACCCCAAAACCCTATTCTCATTATTAGGGCCCCTAGGCCCTAGGCGTGTTGGACCCCTAACGCCCTCAACTTCGGGACTCAACAGGCTCATCAACATCAACTATTGAAACCTACTTTATGGGGTTCCTTTAAGGGTTTAGGGTTTAGGGTTTAGGGCAGGGTTTAGGGTTCATGGGTAGTTATAAGTGGGTTTGTAAGTCCCCTAGAATGGGTCATAGTTATAGTTACCCTAGTTATAGCCCTACTTAAAACGACCCATGAACCTCCAAGCACCCCTTGTGGGGAATGTTACGTTCAAATGCTTCTTCAGTGCCTATGAACTGTCAATCCTGGACCAGCGGAGGTGGGCTATTCCGAACAATTTCAGAGCGTGTCAGAACGCTCTGCACAGGTGAGCATCAACATCAAGTGGCTCCTCTCTGCGTGCAGCGCCCAAGCTACGTTAGAGATTGGGGAGGCCACAACACCTGTCAGACTAATTTAGGGGCCTGCTTTCATGTCGAAAGAGTCTTAAAGATATTCTTGTTGGCAACGTGAGAAAACCTGTTGCTAATTATTCCTGGAGCCCTAAACCCTAAACCCTAAACCCTAAACCCTAAACCCTAAACCCTAAACCCTAAACCCAGCCCTACTCGATCGTGAGCCTCCTGCAGTATTCGCTCCTGGGGCCCCCTGCTGGGAGCTGAAGCGAAGTGTTTTTTCGGAGTCGGGGGTTTAGGGTTTAGGGT